AACTACTACAAGGTGTTCTACAGTTAAAATTTAATAATGTGCCATTTTCCAATTTGAAATGGTTTCATTTACTTTGTTTAATGACTTAGAACAAAATTGAAAACATCAAGTTATCAACACATGTGGATGCCAATGAATTATTAATATAGCAAATAATACCCAGCAAAAATAAAAATTATGGGAGAAGTTTGAGCTATAATTAGGACAAGAAAACTCCTATAAGAAGATTTTCTGCTTTCAATATCATCAGAACTCTAATAAATGTACCTTTTTCTAAAATAAAAGTAGTTCCATCTTGATAAATGACAAGTTAAAAGGTGGTAAGTTTTTTCTATCCTAGATAATTGTCAAATATTAGTTGAACAAAAATTGTCATCAATAGTACATGGCATAAAATTAAAATATGATGGTTAACATCAAAGAAATTGCCATCTACTTGAAAAAATAAATCAAGATACTATGGTTTGCCTCCAAAAGATTCAAACTTGATCTTCAACCAACTATACTGAAAGGAGATGGGGCACAGCAGAAGATAACTAAATTATGGGAACTCAACTCTCATGAATGGATTAATGTTGTCCCTGGACAGTGGACCAGGTAATTATTTTCATCAGGAATGGTTGTCTGGAAGCAATTTCAGCTTTCTCAATTTGTCTCTTGCTTCCTCACACCAGATCTCTTTTGCATATTTATGCATTTGCTATTGATACCATATGCTATATTGTTCAGACTTTCAGACCACCAGAAAACTGAGTCATGTAAACCTCTTTTCTTTATACATTGTCCAGTGTCAGATATTTTGTTACAGCAACTCAAAACAGACTAAGACAAATTTTATATCAAAATGCATGACAATGTATCAATCATATGGGGTCAAAGAAAATGGATTTAAAAATAGGACAAAGCCATAAAAGTGGTCAAGCACAAAAGAAATGCAAACATTGTATATTTTTCCTCATTATAGCTCTAGCAGTCTGTCCTGTAACATATGTCACCATACAATAACATAAGATTTTTAAATCTAAATTTATGCTGCCTTATTTTCACTATAGAGGCAATCCAATAATGATAAGATAAACTCAAAATTGTAATTTCTCAGGAACCCAGTCTTTTTCTATTAGTATGCTACATCAACATCTACTTTTTACACACACAACCAAGCTTTCTTTGTCCTTGAACAATCTGGAAAATAATCTGAAAAGGTCCCTAAAGTGTTGCTAGAAATTAATTTCTAGTTAAAACTCAATGATTTTAAATTCCACATAGCAACCTGCAGGTCAGTTTTCATAAATGTTAAAATAGAATTGATGGCACTGAGAATTTAAAATGAACCACAACAGAATACAACACTAAGCAAGACTGGGATAGCAGGAAAGATAACAGAGTAGGAATCCCCAGCAATCTTTCTCTCCACCCGTAACACTGTATTGGTGGAATCTGTCTGATGTAAGTATTTCAAAATTTTGTAGGGGAAGTCTCCAGTAACATGGTTACATTTAATCAATTTCAGACTAGCACAATACAAACTATGCATTCTCCTACCCACATACCTTTGGCAAGCAGCTCCATGTTCCTCAAGTGGTTTGCAGGAGCTAAGGTGAGCAAAAAGAACTTTGTCTTAAAAGTGTCAAGTGCTTCTGATCACAGAGAAGCAGACATGAGGCAAACAGCCCACCATCACACCACGACTGTTTAATACCCCTCCCACTGCAGCCGCTACCAGCAGATTTAAAGAGCTATGGTTCAAACATTACAAGGCACTTAGTTTAAAGTTGTAACTAACTGACTTTTATTAGTGACCCTAGAATTGGACAGCATTTCATTCTGCGAAACAGAATGAGTGTTCCAGTGAGCGGTTGTTACTTGAAGGTTCTCACACTTCTCATGAAGCAATTCTAAAAGTGGACCGACATTCATTGTAAATGTCTTAGGAACTCTATGGCATCCCTTAAAAGCAACATGCTATGATTTGAGTGAGTCCTTCAAGTTGACATGTCGGGAAAGTTAATCCCCAACACAACGTTGAGAAGTGGTATTTTTAACAGGGGATTACTTCGTTCTCATGAATAAATTAATGTTGCAATTTTGCAAGATAATTCCTGATAGTTTGAGTTTGATTCTTCTCTCTCCTTTCCTCTCTCCTCTCTTTTCTCTTTCCCCTAGGGATGTGGCTCAGTGCAAAGGTCCTGGGTTCAATCTCTTAATATTGGAGTGGGGGAGAGGCATTGTGAGGTTGGCAGTGGGAATACCTTAGGCAGAGCATAGGTGATATACGGGAATGGGTGGAGATGACATAGAACATATAGTATTAAAGAACTACAAGAAGTACTGGTAAAGGGATGTGGCAATAAATGATAACTTGGAGCTACAATCCTGATAGCAGATAATGGCAAAGCATCACAGGATTTTAACAACACACATGACCAGATGCCTGGTCTTAAGAGACAAACAGGGGTATAGTGTCACAACAGAAGGAACTCAAGACTTGATGGCCTCAGTCTTCTCCGTAAAAGGCAAGGTCATGTGCTTAAGGTGAAGACATTATGAACATTTGAAAAAAATGACAAAGGCTTGAAATAATGGCTCAGAGGCTCAAATGGCACTAAAACCTGGCGTTTGTTACCATACCGACTTATGCATTTGTATACTATTCTCCAGCCGTACTCAGTCCCCGCCCCAATTGTGGCTGAAAGTGTATTTATTGGAACACCCACTATTTCAAAGTCTCATCATTCAGGAGGATGTTCCTTATGGTGGATATGGAGTTAGCAAGGCGAAGGGATAGGACAAGAAGCAGAGGCACTCACAGTACTGAATGCCTAAGCACAGTTCTAAGCACGGGAGGTAAAGAGTCCAGCAGAAGGCAGAGAAAAACATAGGCGTGTTAGGAGAAGAGATTTCTGAAGGTAAAGTCAAGGAGGAGAGAAATACAGAAATTACTGAAAACGGCCAACAAAGAGAATTGAAGGCAGGAAAATTAAAAGGGTACGTTAAAGGGCATAGGGTTTCAGATTATATAAAGGAAGGGGAAAAGCAGTAAGAGTTTAATACAAATCACTGAACTGAGTGAGTTCCAGGAACTTGTGGCAACGCTAGGCTAGGCTAGAGTTTATGGAGATTATGAGGGAGGCACCTGTGGTACCTTCATTTAGCATTCTGAGCTGTCAACATGAAAACTCGACATATTAAAACACTCAGAATTAGGAAGCTGAATTAAAAATGGCCATGAGCCTTGTCTTGTATTCTGGCTAAAAGATGGAGGCAATTTCATCTGGTTGATGTCTAAAAAACATTCTAAATGTAAGTTTATAATTTACAATGCTATGGAGCTAAAGATTCAGGAACAAGTATGCAAGGTTTTGTTTTGGTTTTAATTTCAAGATGAAACAGAAAATTTAAGGAGCTAATTTGTCATTTCTGCCATTTAACAATTCTCATCACATATTTCATATATTAAAACTCATGAAACAATAAAAAATGTTTATTTTTATTGTAAGACAAAAATTATTACACTAATCTCTACGTAAATTTTCTATCTTCTTCCACTCCACAAACCCAACAATGTTCCATTAATGAGGAGTCCTGGTCTATTATTGGTCACACGACCTAGCTGTTCATGGCATCATCATGAAAAATAAACAGTATCCTTGGAACTAATACTCCAGTGCCCCGAGAGATACTGCCCAGAATGATGAGGTTAATAATTCAGAGCTATTAACTGTAGCTAAGCAACTGTAGTTGCTAAGGACTGTGGTTGAGCAATCTTTGAGTTACTAAGGGAAACAAAACCAAGTTTTAAAGAATCAAGTGGAAGTTTTTTGAGTCTCCTTAACTCTTAAAGAACAGCAAAATAAGAGCTTGGATATTGATGGATTCAATACTACTGCTTACACAATATTGGTTCCTTTGTGTATGCACTTCGATATTTATGTCTACGATTGGTGGACTAATTCAAATAAAAGTGGTTACGAATTATTAATCATTTATTTTATACAGTACCATAAGCATATACTCATCTTATTTAAATTTCTTAGCATATATATGTATCTTAAACTAGCTTGAGTTCTCTTTGTTTTAGATGAATATCAGAGACAACAGAAGTTGATAAAATTCTGAACATAGAACTCAGACTGAAAAGCAATATGCCTGAGGACTCACTTTCTGGTTCTTTCTTCCCATGTAGCAGATGGCTACTACTTTCTCAACAGAACTTGTACTTTTTTTTCCCTTTCTCTCAATTGGAAAACAAATCTAGAGTTTTGGTGAAAGTGCAATGATTCTGGCAGGAGGCGATAATTTAAATTGTGTTACAACTCTCACGGAGTCAGTGATTTTGGTCGCAGCTCTCGCAGCACTTAACAGAATAGTCTCCAAATGCTAACTGTAAAAATAATATTATTAAGAATAATTTTCCAACATACGCTCCTTGGAGAAACTAGTGAATAAAGGTGAGATAAGCACAAAACGCGGGTGTGTTTACTAAAAATAAAACAATCCAGCCCAGACCATGCAGGACCAGCCCATAACCCCGCCCTGCGCACCTCCCGCCGCCGAACCGGAGAGGAATCCCGGGGGGGGGGGGCGGGGGGGGGGAAAGGATTCACTATCTTGGGTACAGGGCCTCGCTCCTTTCCTCCCGCCTCTCTGACTACCTCCGCGTCTCCTCTCAAACTTGTCCCAGGCCGGGTCCCGGGAGCCCCGGGGACACCCAGCGCTGGCCTTCCCACCCCGCTAACAGAGCCCGCGATTTCTAAAGGATGACCGATCATCGGAGCACCAATACAGAGCTAAGACATCGCTGAGCTCCTGCGCATGCTCTCTGACTCGACGACGATCATTCTGGACGGAAATCCATCTCTCCAGAGTTTCCAGGCGATTCGCAAGGGCCCACACGGTAATGCCCGCTCCCAGCGGCAGCCGAGAGCCGAACGAGGGTGGCTGCTTGCAAAACCCGGAACGCTCGCCCTCCCGTCCGCTCCGTGCGCCACGCGCATCAACACGCATGCGCAGTGGCCCCCGCTGGCGAGCGGAGGCGGCTGCGGGGCTGTATACTGGGAGCCGGAAGGTTCAGCCTCTGTAGCCTACGGGCCCTGTCGCCGGGGCCATGTCGGCCCAGGGTGACAGCGAGTTCCTGGTGCAGCGAGCCCGAGAGTTGGTGCCCCAGGACCTGTGGGCAGCCAAGGCGTGGCTAATCACGGCTCGCACCCTCTACCCCGCAGACTTTAACATCCAGGTGAGGCGAAGGCCGCGTGGGCCGGGGGCAGAGGCGGGGATGCGCGGCCGCCCCATCCCTGCGGCCGTCCGAGCCCGCCGCGCGCTCTAGAGCGGGAGACCCGGGGTGCAGGGCGGCGGCCCGGAGGTGGGAAGTTGGGTCTGGCGCGGACCTCCCGTCTTGTCCCTCTCCCATCGCTGTGGCAGCCAGTCGTTCAGCGCCTGGTACTCTGAGACGTTGTCCCGCCGGGACAACGGCTGGGAGCCGACCCGGGGCAAAGGCCCGCGCCCCACTCCGCAGCCTGGGCCGAGGGGCAGCGAGTGAGGCGCGGGGTTGTGACCCCTCCACTGTACCCTTTTAGTATGAGATGTACACCATCGAGCGCAATGCGGAGCGGACGGCCACCGCGGGAAGGCTGCTGTATGACCTGTGAGTGAGCCCGGGGGACCCTCAATTTGGGCTGCGCTGGGGGCCAGTTTCTGTCTGTGAAGTGAAAGTTAGGGGGAGGGGTCGATCATCAGCTACCCAGAGCTTGCCCAGTGATGACCGAGGCCTGCCCTGAATCTCTGACGTGCCTTTTGCAGAGAGGGCTTTTCATCCTTATGTTTTATCCTTGTTAGAACTTTTATCTAGTGATTTATTTCATTTGGGGATAACTCATGCTTATTGCAAACGTTCAAACTATTTGACAAGGATAAAAAGTGAAAGTCCTTCCTGAACTCAACTGGTGTTAACACATAGTACAAACAAGCCTTTGGGAGAAGGAGATCTAATTTGTCAATTCTGAAGTTTGCTTGCTTCACCCACTGCTTTAAAACCCTTTCCAGATATTTCAGGTCTTTAGCATTTCTCTACTTTTCTCCTTTTCTCTCTGTCTTTGAGACAGGGTCTGTCTCTGTTCCCCAGAGTGATCTTTACCTCTTCTGAATAGCTGGCTCTGCAGGCATTCATCACCATCCCTGGTTTATCAGTCTTTTTAATTCTTGCCAATATATAACAAAATACGCTGTCTTGCTATTTTGATGTTTAAATATTTACTGTTTATGCTACAAATAAAGTTAAGTATATCATTTCTTCGGTTCTTGCCGTTTGTATTATATAATTTGAATTTGTGTGTTTTTTCTTTGGGTACTTCGTTTCATTCTTGTTGATTTTTAGAAATTCTTTGTGTATTAGGGTTTCGTGTGTTTTCATTTATAAAAATATTTAAAAACTTTTGTAAGAACTCTTATTTTTGTAAATGTGTTTATTTTTCTGTTTTTATTTTTATTTTGGCGTATCTAGAATTCACTTAAAATACCTGAGTGTTTTCTTCAAATGCTAGTATTCTTTTCTTTTTGGTGACTGTATAGAGTCTGGATTTTAATTTAATATATTTATTTTAAAAATAGGTTTGTGAATTTCCCAGACCAGCCGGTGGTATGGAGAGAAATCAGCATTATTACATCAGCATTAAGGAATGATTCACAGGATAAGCAGACCCAATTTTTAAGAAGTAAGAATGGAGCGACATCTTAAATGTGTACAAATTGCCATTTCTGAAATATGAAATTATGCACAAAAATTTCACTAAAAAGTCACACTTGTGACTTATATACCACAAATGGCGTATAAGAGTCAGTTTTGTACCCATATATGTGTTTTATTCTTGGCAACTGAAGTCTGTTGTAATGTCACTTGGTCCTTTGAGAATTTGCATCAATACCTTTGAGGTTCCTTAAAAGGATGTGGACCTACTAGTGAGGCCAGGGAATTTAATATATTTGAAACACATTTTATCGTAGCCAGAAAGCATCTGTAAGATAAACCAGATTTCTGAAAAATAGAAGAGAAACTTTTCTAAGTTGTGACCTTTTTCTTTAAACTTCTGTTTTGGTAGCTATAGCAATCAAAGATTGAGAATTCTGCATAAAATAGAAAGGAGCTAGTTAGCTCATTTCAACTTGAACAAGTGCATACTCTTTATCTTGCAGTGTTGTTACATGTTGTCTGTCTTCTCGATCCAGTAATAGCTCCAAGTATCTTATGATTACTCAGCAAACATGTCTTGCCAAATACCTTGAAATTCAAAAGCCTGCCAGGTTGTAGGTAAAACCTGGCCATGGTGCTTCTGTGCTGTTCTGTACATGCAAATGCCTTCCTTACCACTTTTGCTTTAGTATTTTCTGAAAGAATTTCTAAAGGCGAAATGTGTTGTTTGCAGGTTTATTTGAAACTCTTCCCGGCCGGATCCAGTGTGAAATGTTATTAAAGGTCACAGAACAATGCTTCAACACATTGGAACGATCAGAAATGCTACTCCTACTTTTGAGGCGCTTCCCTGAGACAGTAGTGCAACATGGGGTAAGAGTGCTTTTTCCTTTTATTTCTTTTAAAGGAAATAAAATTGGTTATCAATAGATTCATCAATATGGTAGGAGCTCTAGCATATATGACAGTAAAATAGAGAACCTAGGAGCTCTGGGTAAGATTGAACTTATATCAGAAGATTCTTGGTCAGTAAAGCTAAGAAGGCAACATTGCTATTAGGCATTGGCTTTACATTTCTAGGAGAGAATTCGTACCAGTGTAAAGAAATAATCACCAAACTCTGCCTTAGTATTTATTTGCAATCTTTAGAATTTAAAAAAATCCATTTCCTTTGTATTTGACATTATGTTTGAGTTTAAATGAGAACCATAGTTTGCAGTCTTAACATATAGGTTATTCATGTGCTTCTGCCCTGTGGACCCTGTTCTCCCGGTGTTCTTGCCACTTCCCTACATCTGTGGTAATTACCGAATGCTACTGGAGGGTGTAATAAGTGCTAAGGAGTTGCTAAAGAAACCACATCTTAATATTTTAGTAATTTCTTATAGCCAATCAGTTGTCAAAATTTAAAACATTCTTTACATTCAAAGTCATATTGGTTATTCTTTCCCATGCCATCTTTCTGGCTTCTGGCCCTGGTTAGCCTTTTTTCATTCTTCTTACGTTAGTGTCAGGAACTGCCATTACAAAGTGCCAGACACAAAGTAGAATAAAACGCTAGCAGTTCTCATAATTCTCACAAATTCAAAAGCTCTCATAAAAACGAGATGTTGGAAGGGCCATGTTCCCCCTAAAGACCATAGGGGAGAAATTACTGCCTGTCTCATCACATGGTCTTTCTTCCTGTTTGTTTCTTTGGCCTTCCATTAAGCATACCACTTGTTGGTTTTCTGGTCCACCTTAATCCAGTATCACCTCCTCTTAACCAATTGCATTTACAAAAGCACTACTTTCTGTAAGAGTAAAGTATAAAGTCACACAGCCCAAAATGATGTTCGGGCTTATGGAAGAATTTGACAGTGACTTCATAACATTGTACCAGCTAGGAAGACAGAGCCATTTTAGTGTAAATATACTCTGTGATGATTTTACCATGATGTAATCAGTGACAAACACATCTTCAGGACTGTCCCCGTTAGTAAGTGGTACAAGACTGTGGTTCTCAGTGGGTATGAATTTGGGGGACACTGTTTAAGCCAGTGCACTCCCTGATCATTATTCTTGACTTTTTACCTTCTGTGTAATGTCATTTTTTCTATTATTCCATCCCTACCACAGAACATGCCTGTGTGATTGCAAGGAAGATTATTTAAACACTTAGTAGGATTTGTAATAGTAATTATATAATAATAAATATAAATTATAAATAATTTTATTTATATAATTTATAAATAATTTATATAATTTATAAATAATAAATAATAATTATATAATAATAAATAATTTTCTATTACATTAGCACGTTAGTGATGGAAAGATGGCCTTAAAACTCAGACATTTCCATCCAGGCATGCCCAGACTATGTAACTGGTGACTCCTGGGAACTCTTAAGAATGAGTTTTGTTTTTCACATGCATCTTGATGTAAAACATAAAGTTGGTTTTCACATTTCTTGGAAAATCTCTCCATTTATATTATTCTAATTCTAGTTCCAGTACTTCCCTGAAATTTTATAAACTTTGTTAGTATCTTAATTTTGCTAGTTAAAAGGAGAATAAACTGGGAATAAAGTAGTCAGGTGGTCATGTGAACTTAGTCTTTTGGTCTATGTTATGGATGTTATTATGTTTTCTAGTCTTTGAAGTGTGATAGTTTTTTCTCAGAGAAATTTAATTATACAAACTTGCTGAAATATAAAAAACCTGTTATGTAATTCTGATATCTTAAACTGTATACATTTAAATTGATTTGTATTTTGAAACAGTTTGGCCTTGGGGAGGTACTATTAGAAGCTGAAACTCTTGAAGAGCAAGAGTCTCCTGTTAACTGCTTTAGAAAATTATTTGGTAAGAAAAATCATATTTTGTATGACTTCCTTATGGAAGAAATAGAATATGATGAGATGAGGTTATATGTAGAAAGTAAAGGAGTGCTTCATATTATGAAACTTAAATCCTTGCTTATCTTTAAATTCAGAAAGACTATTAATTAAATTCTAAACTTTTATTTTGTGATGTTTGATACCTCTGAAAGCATATGGATAGAAATATAGGTAAACATATAACATCTAGCCAATGAGGCTACCATCAGTGTGACTAATGGACCTTTACCCACACTGATGAATCTGCCAGTGAGTTTGCTTACTACCGCCTTCCACTGATACCCCTTTCCATGGAAGTTTTAAAATAAATCTGACATAAGGAATTGCCCCTCCCCACTATATTTTAGATGCTATAGTAAGTGAACTCTAAATTTTGTTTTTGCTAACCCTGTGGTAGACAACTTGATCAGTTGTTTTCTTATTCTTCCCCTTCAACAGTTTGTGATGTACTTCCTCTAATAATTAACAATCATGATGTTCGATTGCCTGCCAATTTATTATATAAATACTTGAACAAAGCTGCTGAATTTTATATCAACTATGTCACTAGGTCTACTCAAATAGAAAATCAGCATCAAGGTAAGTGGGAATGTCCTGCAATTTTATTTAGACAGCCTTTAGAAAAATTGCAGATTCCAAAATCCCTCATACTGATTACTCTTCTCTGGGTACATTCTGTAGTTTTTCTTAAACATTTTACTTTAAAAAAATATCTACATTTATAATCTGAGACTTCTCTCTGGAATAGTTTCTATCCCTTGATTAAAATAGTCTGGTTGCTGAAGTATAACAATACTGCCCTCAACTTCATAGATACTACAGCTTAAAATTCATTTTTTGCTTAATCCAGTGGCTGGCTGTTTCTTGTCACATGTTGCTTAATTAAGGAATATATTCTCAGAAGTACATTGTTAGACAGTTCTAATGTGTGAACATCATAGAGTATACTTACACCCTTAGTTATTTTTCTCTGGTTGCTGAGACAAAACACCCCAAAGTTAAAGAACGAGAAGTTTATTTAGTTCACCGTTTGTAGAGATTTCAGTCCATAATTGACTGGTTCCAAGGCACACAACAGGGGCAGTAGTTCATGACAGCTGAAGATAACAAAAACAACAACAGAAAGAGAACAACGCAAGCTTCTCTGTCCCTTGTATTGTATTGAGTCTACTGGGATTAAGACAGTGCCAATCCAGTCAGTGTACTGGTCCAGCAGTCACCAACCCTTAATTCCCGTGTTGTACTATGAATCAATTTCACCATCTAGATTTAACAGTGACTGCATGAGGCTTTGCGGGACATCCAGACATAAACTGTAACACACTCTTAGATGGTATAGCCTGCTGTACATCTAGGTTGCATGCCATGACCTACAGCATGTTACTGTTCTGAATACTGTAGACAGTGATACACAATGATAAGTATCTGTGTATGTGGCATACCCAACAGAAAAGGTACAGTAAAAATACATTATAAAAATAAAAAATAACATACCTGTTAAGGGTACTTAACTTAAATGAAACTGGAGTTACTCCAGGTGAGTCGATGAGAGGCGTGTGAATATGGAAGCCTAGAACATTTCCGTATGTTGCTGTGGGCTTAACAAACACTGTATATAAGCTATACTACATTTATAAGAAAGAAGTTTTTCTTTCTTCAATAGTAAACTAACGTTAGCTTATTGTAAAAATCTTCACACATTTTTAAATGGTTTTATCTTTTGATTTCCTTAACACTTAGCTTAAAATATGATGAATACATTGTACAAACACTTTTTTCTTTACTTTTTTGTTTTATAAACTTCTAGCTTTTTGTTAAAACTGAAATATACACACATGGCCTTGGTTACACAGGGCCAGGATCCTTAATCACTGTCTCCACCTGCATTGGTGGCCCTATTAGAAAGTCTGCAGGACAATAACATGCACAGCTCTGGTAACAAAGCCACCTTCTGAAGTCCTCCTGAGGGACCTGTCGTAAACTTCCTAAGCAGGTGTTACTGTGTTCAGAAATTTCAGAAATAGTTCATGGTGTTTTTCTCCTTCCCTCCCTACTGCACCCCCATTCATGCTGCTTTCTGTCATAGATCAGCTTGTCAGCAGAAATTGCACCATCAACTTTCCATTAGGGAAAACTTTGGGTGTTGGGATCCATGTTTTCAAATACTTTCGGGTAGTTGTTGGATATTGCAAAAACTGATGCTAAGCCCATCATTGTGAATGTTCTTGGGGCTTCTTTTTCTACTATATGTTACTTTGTTCTTGCCTCTTCAGCTCTGTGTTCACTAGGCAGTAGGTACCTTCAGCTTCATTATAATCTTTGGGACCACCACAGTCCTTCATTGATAGAAGCATCATTATGTGATAGACAACTGTCACATATTAGGGTGTGTACTTTTTTCTTTTAAATGATGGAGTGAGACTTTTTTGTCAAGCATTATATAAATAATAAGCAACAGTGTTAATTGTAGGATCCTTTTTTTCACATCTCAGGTGCCCAAGATGCATCTGATTTAATGTCGCCCAGCAAACGTAGCTCCCAGAAGTATGTAATAGAAGGACTGACTGAAAAATCATCCCAAATTGTGGACCCTTGGGAGAGGTTGTTTAAGATTTTGAATGTTGTTGGAATGAGATGTGAATGGCAGATGGATAAAGGAAGACGGTAATAGATACATTATTTCTTAAATTGTCTATCAAATGTTTAGATTATATAATTTCAGTATCCTTGTAAAAGTTAATAACATTTTTTTAAAACCAGTTTGGGTATGTTTCTCTTTGGACAGATTTTGTGACAATATTTATGCAAAAGAGTGTGGCTTTCAGTTTTCAGAAGATTCCTAACTGAAGCATTAATTCATAAGATGATACTGAATTTGAAGCTGTCCTTGGTAGTTCAGAGAAAAGAGAAGTTAACTTGGCATGTTTCTGTTGTGAATCTTGGGCTGATCACTGCCCTGATTGAGGAGGAAGAGTTTGCCATTCACATGCAGACAATAAAGAATAATTTTAACATGAATCAGTACTTCTCAAAAGAAATTCAAATTGCCAACAAATTTCTGAAGATGTATTTAACTTCATTAGTCTTTAGATAAATGTGAGTCAAGACCACAATGAAATCATCTCACCTCAGAACAGTGATACTGAAAAGACAAAAAATAATAAATGCTGGTAACAGTGTAGAGAACAACAGTTTTTTACATTCTTGTTGAAAATTTAAATTAGTGTGATCTCTATGGAGAATAGTAAGGAGATTCCTCAAGAAATTTGCTATGTGATCCAATTTCTCCTGCACCAGGTGCATATCCAGGGGAGGTGACACCACCATATCAGAGGCACCTGCAGATCTGTGTTTATCAGCACTGTTCACAGTGGCTAAGATACAGGATTGATCTAAATGCCCATCAGTAGATAAAGTTTAGCCATAAGGAAGATGATATCTTACCATCTGTGGTAAAATGGATAGAACTGGAGCATATTATATGAACTAAGTTAGACTCAGAAAGGCAGATTACACATGTTATTTCTCATATGTGAATGTAAAAGAAAAAAGGTTGGTTAGAGTGTAGACTAGTGATTACTGAAGGCTGGAAAAGGTCCAACCAGGAATTAGTGGGAGGTTAGATAACAGATACCCAATTGCAGTTAGATAGAAGTAAGTCCTGATGTGCAGAACTGAGGAGATACTGTGGTTCACAGTAACTTTTGTGTGTGTGTGTGGTGCTTGGGATCTGAGCTAGAGCCTTGGGTAAGCCAGGCAAGTGTTTTACTACAGAGCCAGGTCCCAATCCCACCACAAGATATTATCTATTGTATGAATAAATTGGAGATAGGAACTTAAAGGATCCAAATGTGAATTACTGATGAGATGAAAACTTAAGTATCCTGATGTTATCAGAACCTGTGGTATAGCCTTACTGAAATATCACTCTATACTTGGTAAATGTGTACAGTTATTACGTGTTAATAAAAAATTATTAATATTTAAGGAGATAGAAATTTTAACTACCCGGATTTGATTATAGAACACGGTACATGTATATTGAATTACCAAATTGTACCAAAACAATGTGTGCAATTAAAATGATTTTTTACAATTCAACTTTAGAAAGGCATAAATACTTAGAGCTTCATTTGGTAAATGTAGAGATTGTATCAGAGCTTTAAACCTTTTGCTGACAGACCCAGACATTTTAGTAAGTTTTATCATCTTTTCTCTTCCAGAAGCTATAGTGATATATTACATCGGATGAAGGATCTCTGCAGATACATGAACAACTTTGATAATGAAGCTCATGCAAAATATAAAAACCAAGTGGTTTATTCCACTATGTTGGTCTTCTTTAAGAATGCATTCCAGTATGTCAACAGCATACAGCCATCTCTCTTCCAAGGTTGGTTTTCAAATTTTAGAAACAGGATTCAGTGGTGATGGTGGGAGGACAAAAATGTTCTCACCATTGCTGTTGGATCCAAAAACTGGGGTGGTGCCAGTGCTCTGCTCATTGTATTGATGATTCCATTAGGCTTAGCTTGGTAGTTTTTCATAAGAATAGTTTGATTAAAAATTCCTATATCAAGGGTTAGTAATGTACTGTGAATCTAAATACAGATTCGAATGCCACGTTTTGAAAAAAACATGTGAAAATATTTTGAAGTATATTTTTACAAGGACATAATAGGCAAAGGTTTAAGTAAAATGCAGTACATTATATACATATATAATATATACTGTAAATTATTAAAAAGTCTTAAAAACAAAAAGGTACAATATAAAAATGTATATATTGCCTTATGAATATATTTTTCATACATTTATTTTATTTGGTGTTCAAAATCATAATGTACATGTAATTTTGTAACTTTTTATAATATATGATTTGTGATCATTATAAAAAATTATAGATACAAATACATTTGTTTTCACCACTGGGAAAGAACATTTATTAACAGTTTGGTGCATATCTGTGCTGTATTTTTTCCCTATACATGTAGACCTGTTTGTTTGCCTAATTGGGATCTCCTGTGAACCTATTTTTGGTTGCCTTTATTGTCATGTGATAGTTGAGTAAACTTCTTGCTGATACTAAGTATTCTCTTTCTTTCCTCATTTCTAATGTTGCCGTTTTCTGTGCTTCCATAGGACCTAATGCTCCAAACCAAGTTCCCCTGGTCCTTCTTGAAGATGTATCAAATGTGTATGGTGATGTAGAAGTTGATCGTAATAAACACATACATAAAAAGAGGAAGCTAGCTGAGGGAAGAGAGAAAACCATGGTAATCCTTTCAGATATAATCACTAACAGATTAGTTACATAGTTTGCTAGAGAAGAATTTTGTAAAATATGGTTTTGAAGCTAAATTGATAAAGAAGGGCCAAGGATATAGCTCAGCGACATAAGTGCCTGTCTGGGAAGCTTAAAGTCCTGAGTTCGGCTCCTGGTACCAAAGAAAAAATAAGTTATATAGGATTTTAAATTAAGCTATGTAGTTACTATAGAAGGGAGTGGAGGCAGTTTTGCCCCGTAAGTGACATTTAAAAATAGTAGAGATATTTTCTATCATCACATTCCTGCTCTTGATGGGGAATTGTTGCTAATTAACATGTATGCACCAGAGGTTGGGGGTGGTGCCTACCATCCAACACACAGGATAGCACAAAAGGTCAGTAGTGACCAGCTTGAGAAGGCCTTGTTTTGTATTTGACTGTTTTGACTAAATGACACTGTGGCGCAAAAGTGGAGATGCCCTGGTTCAGGAGGCAACAGCCTTTTCTGTCACTGGCCAATTAATGATATTTTTAGGTGTGCAAGCCAAATGGCCCTTATTGTGACTCCTCAGCCTTGCTATTACAAGTTAAAAACATCAATAAGCAGTGTATAAACAGCCGGCACAGTCATGTTCAATGGGACTTTATTGGTAAAAGCCTGAAGATCATAGGTTACTCATCCCTCTCTAATTGAAATGCCCAAAGGGGAGTCAGGGGCCTTAGCCACTTCTTGTCCTTTCTCCTCCCTGTTTTTAGTGTCTTTACTCTTTTTTGTTACTTGGGTAGCATTTTCCTGGAATCTAAGGATGATGACAAGTGTGCATGAAGATGAGATTAATTTGACGTTTCTGGGCTCCGTGGTATAGGATGGATTGGAGCCAGGAAGACAGAAAGCTGTTCTAAAAAGTATGTAAGGTTATTAACCCTTTTAGTAAACTTCCTCCCCAAAATGCGTGCATGCACAGTTTTGTAGATTATTTCAGTAGCTGGCAAGACGCTTTGAAACTTTACCACGAGCCCTAGGTTGAGAACTCTGTGCTTACTAAACTCTCTTCGATGCTCTCTGCCTACTCTTTTTACTTCTTTCTTGCTGGATATTTCGGTTCATTAGTGCTTTTGCTCTTGAACAAGTCAGTGCACAGATAGAAGCATTCAGCAGAATTTTGCTTCTGTCTGTAAACTGCACCACGTGAGGTACATAACCACAGCTATCTTCACCAGAATTGTGGAATGGGTTAAGTTTGTGAACCAAGGTACCACTCTATCTCTTAATGCTCTGGCTTATCCAGAAACTCCCTGAGGACCCAGAGATGCCTTTCTTCCACACAGCTAAACATGTTGGGTTCTAGTGGTTTTGACTGAGAGTAACGGCATGTTCCTGTCTAACTCCGGGTATGTAATGTAGCCCCAAAGATTAGCTTCTTTCCTTTCTTATCACTTACTCTGTGATCTAAGCCATCAAACTTCCTTGCTAGGCAATCAGAGTGATCTTTCTGTCTATGCTTCCTTCCTTGCTTCTTAAATCTCTTTCTGTGTGGCAGGCAGGGTGACCATTCAAACACGTATCAGACATCATTCTTGCTGTACAGTGTCTGCCTCTTCCTGTTACAGAGCTCACAGAGTGCTCCTGAGCGGGCCTCCCAGGGTGTGGACACGCAGGTCTCCACAGCTCTTCCACTCTGAGCCCAGGCCTCCGCTGGCCCCTGCCCATCTGAACTGCGCTGCAGATGCGCTGCTTTCCCTCAGAACTCTGCCAGGCAGCTTCGTCCTTGCCTCTCAGGTCCCAGGCCACACGGTCCTCCCTCTGGGGCTTCCCCTAAGGCACTGCCCAGTGTTTCCTTTTTATTCATTTTAACTTCAGAACCCTCATTGCTGTTCATTTGTTCTTGTTCATTTGTTAACAGTTCCCTATCTCTGTCCCCTCAAGGGCACCAGCTCCGTGGCACTCAGGTTGGTGCACAGGCTGTGGGATCTCAGGAACCCTCAGGGCATCTCTTCCATTTTCTAGCCATCATGTGCTTCTCTGCCAGCCCCTCTTCTCATTCTCTGGCCTTCCTGCCCATCTTGGATTTCTCTTAACAGATTTCATCCTGGTTTTTACTCCGTTTCCATACTCGTCTGCCTCTGCCTAATCAGATCCAGCCAGATGTGTCTTGTCATTGTACAGAACAACCTGATGGCCTGTAAGGTCAGCACGCAGATGTGTTTGCTGTGCTTATGGTTTTGTTTTGCAAATCATTTAGCATGTAGAATTAGAAGCATAGCATTTCTCATGGTAATCCAGATTCCTAACTTGTCCTTTTACAGCAGAGATACCCATAACACTGACCCACAGCTGGAGTTGGGTGTGGCTAGACTCATGTGGCAGCCCAGATGGCCGGGGCTGGTGGCAGTCCTCTCCTGTGGGCAATCTTCCCACTTGGCACATGCTTCTGTATGTTCCCTGCAGTTGCACTGTTGTTCGGAGCATCCTCCAGAGCTTTAGAGTAGGTTACCACATTTCAAAATTGATTTCTCAAAGTTTTACCAACTGTTTGTAATGCTGCAGTACTCCCCCACATCTGGAGTCCTTTCATAATTCCTAGTCTCATTTGGGAGACAGAAATGTTTTCTGTGGGCTGCCATGCTAACAAATGCACCAAGCTTGTTAGTGTGTGATGGTAGATTGCCACTACTTGGCAAGGAACGGGACCCTGATGAAATGGGATACTTGACCTGTGGGTTTTGGTTAAGGAGAATGTGTCATTCCTATGGAAAGCAGGTGGGGCAGGGTGGAGTTCCCAGGCACAAGGCAGGGTAAGCTCTGAAGTGGGGAAAGGCTGGCAGCAGGAGGAAGACCTCACAGAGTCCTGCCTGTCCCTGTGAGGTTGGCTTAGGGAACAGAGCTTCTAACTGACACACTTCTGCATATTTAAAACTTACTGTAGTACAATAAAGATCTGAGGTTTTGAAATAATAAAACAGCATAGGGGGATAAAAGGTTCAAGACATTCTTAGCAGAATCACCGCTGTTTTACTCCTCTGCGTTTGGTGTTGTGTCTGGTCATGCCCAGTGGCGTGGTCACAGTCGCCTTTCTCTGCAGCCTCACTTTTCTTGGCCTTTTGTATGATTCAAGATGAAGAACAAGTAATGTAGGAAGACGTGCTTCCCCAGCGGCGTGTCTCATGGGCTCCAGCTTTAATTCTAGTCCACTGCCTGACAAGCTGTTCTTGGAAGCAAATTAAATAATAGCACATATTGAGGTGCAAAAGTAAAGTATAAAAGGAACTGTAAAGAAACTGCTTAAGTTTTTATCTCTCCATCTAAGAATCTAATTCTTGGCTTTTATAAAATTGATGATTTGAAATTGTTGGAAAATAGAACTATCATCAGAAAAAAAACCTTTAATAATTGAATGTATGAGTCATTTTTAAAACTAAAGTGTTAAAAAATTAATTGTAGCCATGTTGTATTCTTGCATATAAAACACATAATAGGCAGAATTAGTAGCAGTAAATGAACGTTGCAGTGTAAATGCCTATACTTTAGTTAACTAGGTTTTCACATTCTTTAAGCAGAGTTCAGATGATGAAGATGGTTCAGCAAAAGGAAGAAACCGTCACATTGTAGTCAACAAAGCAGAACTCACTAACTCTGCCGAAGTGTTAGAAAGCTTTAAACTGGCCCGGGAGAGCTGGGAGTTGCTCTATTCCCTAGAATTTCTTGACAAAGGTAAGCCTGTGCTTATAATACTGATATAAAATCATTATGCTAAACAAAATTTTCATGCTACTTGAAATGTCAAGTCTCTTATGGCTAATTAGATTGACTACATATTTTATAGTATTCTTTTGGAGCAAGAAATCTAATCAGTTAATACTCAAGTAACTGTTTACTTTTAGCTTCGTCTCTGAGGATGAAATTGCAGGGAGTTTTTTATCTTTTTAATGTCTATATTGCTGGTGTTTTGTTTCTTTTTTATTTGTTCTTTTCTACTGCCTTGTGTGTTCCTCACACATAATGTGTCCCAGAGTACCATTGCCTGGGAAACCCGAAATCCAAAAGTTGGAGAAAGCCCCCATTTTTTTTTTTTAGTATAGATACTGGAGGGCATTTTATCTCCATAATATCGAAGCTTAAAAATCACTAGCCCTTTGCTGACCATTGCACATTTATTTTGAAATCCAGGCCCGTTGCTCTGTTTTCAGCTAGTGGACATTCATGTGCCAGCACAGATCCCCTGGTCAGCTGTGTTATGTCATGTTTTCTAAGTCAATTTAGCATCATTCAGGTCTTCTCTATTGCGTCTAGAATTGTGAATGTGTGTAACTGTTTTGAAAGATATTTTTCCTTTTGTTCTAAGTTGGCCTTCCAAAAAATAAGTAAAACTTTTTAGTGTCATTGTTGTGTAACTGAGTAAAAGTAAAATGCGAGGCTGGAGATTTAGCTCAGCCACATAAACACCTGCCTAGCAAGCGCGAGGTCATGAGTTCCATCCCTGGTGCCAAAAACAAAACGAAACAAAAAAGTAAAGATGGAACTTTACTGGAGAGAGCAAGGTAATTTTAAAGATAAATGATTTAATATATAAAAAGCACAGTTTTGGGCACAATATGCTTTAAATGTGCCCATAAAAATCTTATTTGTGTATTATTGATAATGTTAGGCTCTAACTTATTTCCTGAAATTGTGAGATGTTGTTTTAAAAATCAGAATCTAAAATTACTGTGCATCTTTTGGTAATTTATCTCTTCCTTTTACTGGGCTTGTTAGTTTTTTTCCTCCCTCTGTTTCTGTGGTATATATTTTTGGTGAGTTTCTTTCAATTCTTACCCAGAATTTACAAGAATTTGTTTGGCGTGGAAGACAGAGACTTGGCTGTGGTTAAGAATATTCCTCACCGATATGATCATCTATCAGGTAGAGTGATACACCTTTCAGGTGTCTGCGTGTAGAGAGGGTGATGATTTCTTCGAACCAGCTTTAAGCTGTAGCTTTGCATTTGCAGAGATCCTCCTACCTCAGCCTGCTGAGTACTGGGGTTACAGGCGTGTACCACCACGCCTAGCTGACTTTTCATGTTTCCTATTCATGACTGTGTTCCCTCTCTGAGACTGGCCTGTTTAGTCTTTAGTGGCTGAGGAGTGTGGTCCACTTTCATCTCAAAGAATTTCCAAAATGATAAAGCCATCCCTTCTTTGTTACTTGTGGTAGTCTGGTCACTGCTCTGTACAAAAGTACAATTTTTACTTTTCATGAGACGGTCTATACTTCTCACACCTCCCTCCCTTCCTCGGTGCTGCTGGAGCCTGCCTTACTGTTCTCGTCACCCGAGCCTCAAAGCTAGTACAACAGGCGTGGGCAATTCATTTAATCAGGTGATGGAGTGGACAGGTTGCTTCTTCCATCCTCCGTGAAAGAGCAGTGATTTTACAGAGAAATACTTCCACAGGCATGGTAGATCCCAATCTTTATTGTCACGTGATTTGTGTTATTTTATTTAGTTTTAAAGACCTAAGACCAGAAAGAATAATCTTTGTACATTTGGGCCTCTTACCTGTAGTTCCACATCCCCAGACTCAACCAGCCCAGGTGAAACTATCAACAAAAATATTGCTGCTATACTGTGCAGACTTTCATTTGTCACTATTCCCTGAACAGTACAGGATACCAAGTGTTTACCATTGCATTATGCATTATGAGAGCTAAAGTGTCCCAAATGATGTGTGCAGGGTTTACATGTAGGAGTGTGTGCCTCCAGACATGGGTGCCCACAGAGGTCCCAGAATCAATCCTTCAAGGTTTCCAGGATGGATGTACTTAGAAGTAACTTCGTCTGGCTCCAAGTATGTTGATTTCGTCCTGTTGCTAAGTCTCCTTTTTTCTCCTCATGTGATCCTATAAAGGTGCTTTATTTATAATGAATGGTTGGTTGGTTAGTTCTGGAGGTTGGTAAAGTTTTCCCCTCCTTGTTCTCTGTCTTCTCAGGGGCAATATAAAAAGGCAATAGCCAGCCTGCATCATTTGGCTGCTCTCCAAGGGTCACTTTCTCAGCCACAGACTGCAGGACAGGGGACCTTGGAGCATCAGAGGGCGCTCATCCAGCTGGCAACGTGTCACTTTGCTCTGGGGGAATACAGGGTAAGCACTGGACACTGGCATGGAACCCTCACAGGGACCGCATCACCTGGGCCTTCTCTCTCTCCTAGAATGACTTAATTCAGTACATGTGTGCTTGCATTTGATCTTCCTGCCTAGATTTATTACTTAATCTGTTGGTGAAAATCACAAAGGTTTTTTTAAACTTGATTTCCCCTTTATTGTAACTTCCCTGGAATTTTCACATTTCTTCTTCTTCTTCTTCTTCTTCTTCTTTTTTTTTTTTTTTTTGAGACAGGGTCTTGGTAAGTATTTCAGGCAGACCCTGAATTAAATAGGCCAGCCTGACTTTAAATGCATGGGGGTCCTCTTGCCTCAGTCTCCTGAGTGCTGGGATTATATACATGTGCTACTGTGGTTGGGTAACTTTTCACATTTCATGTTCATTGGTCTACTCTGTTGGAAGACTTTTTCAGGGAGCTCTTTAAGGCTTTCATCAAGATAAGCTGCCCACTTCTGCTGGGTTAGCCTGTGTGTATTTTGACTGTGTTTTACATAGTGCTCTGTAACAGATCACTTAGTTGTTTCCTGTATGTCATCTTCAGTGACTTTTCTGTTGAGGTAGTAAATGTTTGGCAAGCTACCCTTTTTTGGATGCCACTGTGCTATTAAACATAGTTACTACCTGGTTAGTTTTGTTCTGTTTTGTTTTGATTTTTGACACAAACAGTGGATTGTTGCACCCTCTTGTATCTCTGTCACTCTGTCAGAGTGTTGTAACACTCTGTCATCCTGTTACTTTCTCTGTGCAACGTTGAGCAAGCCGTGATGGTTGCACCGAGAGGATAATGTTGAAGCAGAGCCACAGACCTCCCTGGGTGCCCATTGCCTGGTTGTTTGCTGCAGATGTTCAGTGCGATGCTTATTTGGCTTCAGTTCGGGAAGCAAACGATTAGTTCCTTTGGTCTTTCCTTCCCTAGATGACATGTGAGAAAGTCCTAGACCTGATGTGCTACATGGTCTTACCCATTCAGGACGGAGGCAAATCTCAGGAGGAACCCTCAAAAGTAAAGCCCAAGTTTAGAAAAGGTACAGCAACAAATTTTATTATTATTTTGTAAGTAGGACCCAAGACTGAGAAATGCTTTGTAGCTCCTACTGAGATAACAGTACCGTGGTCTGCAGGGCTTGACATATTGTACTTGGTGAAAAGTTAATTCCATGTTTTTTTCTTGGCTCCTCTCAGAAGCAGCTATAAATCTTTCTTTCAAAGTTCACTTCCTGAGTTTATTACTTCTTTGAAAAATACGAGTTAATTTTTTTCTCTTGTCCAATTCTAGGAAACTTGTAGATGATTGATTAGAAAGTTTCACTTGTTATATCTTTGTTGAACCAGTGTCATCTCATTTCACATTGCTTGAAAGACATACAAATTAAATATAAGGAAAGTAGAAGACAGGTAATCATTCCAAGAGCAAAAACCAAAATAGAGAAAACTGAAAGCTATTTTTATGAAAAAAATTTAAAGTTGATAAACCCTAGCAAGATTGATGAAGATATAGGTGACCATAAATTAGCAATATGAAGAATGAAAAGGCGAATGTCACTGCAGATCTTACTGAAATCAAAAGGACAATAAGAGAATAATTTATCCCAATAAATTTAATAACTTAGTTAAAACGACAGCTCCTTGAGAAACACAGCTTACCAAAACTACCCAAAATAAAATAGAAAAATTGAATGTACTTATATCGTTAAGAAGTTAAGTTTTTAAAATCAAAAACCTTCCTACATAGAAAACTAAGTCTCAGTGGCTTTACTGGTGAATTATACCAAGTATTTAAGAGAACTAGCACCAGTCCAGCACAAATTCTTTCAGAAAATAAAGACAAACTCCCAAATCATACTTTAAGGCTACCATAAACCTGATAGCTAAGCAGAATGAGAATTTTACAAGAAAAGAATGTTATATAGCAGTAATCCATCATACATATAGGTAAGTATTAGCAAGGTGAATATTGAAGAAGGGTAGTACATAATAACCAGAATACTAGGAATGCAAATGTAAAGATACACAAATCAGTGTAAGTCATCAAATTATCAAAGAAGAAAAAACACAATAATCTTAGTAAATATTGTTTATTGATGTTATTTTTAAAAAAATCTTCACATCTAGAAAGCTCCGTCAACTCCACACTTAATTATAAAATATCGAATGCTTTTCCCTGATACAAGTATTATACTTTCACCACTTTGTTTCACATGATGAAGAGTTTAGCCAGAACAGTAAGACAACATGAAGGTAAAAAGGTTGAAAAAGGCTGTGTACAGGTGTGATTTCACAACTGCAGATTTGGCTGTGTAGGAAAGAAAAATCTGTAGAAAGGTTCTAAAACTAATTGAGAGGGCAAGGGATGCAGTTTGGTGACAGAGTATTTGTCGGGCTTGTGTGAAGACCCAGCTTCCAGAGAAAACACAAACAAAACACAGATGACATTACAATTCAGTGGGGGAAGAAATCATTTACCCAGTAATTGATAATAAAATGATTATCTAGACATAAAAAATAACAGCAAAAAGAGATCCCCCCTTTGTACTATATAAAAATCCTTTAAAATTTGATATTTAAATATGAAAATTTAAACTGTTGGAAATATAGAAGAAAACCTTTGTGCAGACTTATACTACAGAGAGCACACACACAGCTGGGCGTGCTGGTACACGCTTATAATCCCAGGTACTAGGGTGGCTGGGAGTTTCACTAGTTTAAGCCAAGCCTGAGCCATATAGCAGGACTGTGTCTCAACAACAACAAGAAAAATGAAACTAAAGGATTAGAGAATTTAGTCAGATTAAGATTAAAATACAAAATATATTATGGTCAAAATGAACTGGCTAGACTGCCAGAAAATTGTCTGGCATATAAAACCAACAAAAACATTCAAAAGTTTAAAAGTACTTTGTCAGATCAGTAAGAACTAGCCTCCTGTAGAAAAATAAGCAAAGGAAGATTCTCATGATTTGAAAAAAATATTATTTTTACACTTCTTGTGTGTTAATTCATATGCCACTCTGGACATCAAACAGTCATACCATTACCTGGCAAATACTCATCTCTTAATTGTATACTGTAGGTCAGAAGTTTCCAGACCAGGTCCTCTCCCATGGGGTAATGAGTTTCAAGTGGGATTTTTTTTTCAATGAGATAGAAAAATGTTCTTTTCTTGTAAATGACTGCATTCCAAATAAAAGGATAAATGTTATTTCATGAACCTATTTATATAAAGAAGTGTTAAGTATGTGTGGACCCAATACCGATATTGAAAATAATGTATTTTGGCAGGAAGGAGCCAAAAAAGGATTCACTTTGTGCTATTTCTTGCTTCTGAGTAGAGAAGGATTTAAGCTATATAAAAGCATAGCCATAAAGGAAAAGATCATAAATACTACTGCATAAATTTTTGTCCACAAGTACACAAGAAAATTATTTGTATGTTTAGTTTGACATTGGTTTTAATAGTGAAAAATTGGTAGATCCAGCATCTGCAATAAGGAGGGCAAATCATTATACATGTGAACAATAGAATGCTGACTGAGTGAGGGCTATATGTGTCCAGTTGATAAACCTGAAACACATGAGGGTGAGTGAAAAAGAGCAGTTCGCAAAGGGGTTTATATGCTGTGACACCATGTAGTACAACTGAACGAGAGCCTGCAAATGTTCCTCTGTGCTGTTATGACTGCTGCGTGCATGGCACAGTGTGCCTGCTGTATGCATGGGAGCTACCACTACCTTGAGCATTTTGTCTTTCTCTGAGGAGGCACAAAGACACTGGGCATCAGAAGGACACAGAAGGAGCTTCAACTGACTTTGTGACAATTTGTATTAAAATCTTTAAAATGCTGACATTTTTATAAAGCTAAGTGATGATTACACCAATGCTTGTAATGCTCTATAGAATTTTCTGTATATTTTAAGTGTTTTATAGTAAAAAAAAAATATTTGCGTGTTTAGGAAAGAAGATTGAAAAATGAAATTATAAATTATAGAGACACTCTAAAATCAGTTTCACCGTCACAAAATATGGTTGTAGTTTGACTGTATTAGGAATTGTGTGACTGTTACTTACTCTTTTTAGTTTTAGAAGGAAACCATCTTAAACATTTACTTGTCGGAGATTTTTCTTTGATGATGGTGCTCATTAACATAAAAGTGCTCTTGTGGACTTGCTAGGTTCGGACCTGAAGCTCCTGCCCTGCACCAGCAAAGCTATTATGCCCTACTGTCTACACTTGATGTTGGCCTGCTTTAAGGTAAGCGTGCAGTGGACTGACCTGGACATGTAATTCAGGGTGTTGTGGTGATAAGTTGGGATGATTTGAATTGAGAACCTCATTGATGATTGTGAATTTAGTATATTTAAAGAGCAGGTTGCTAACAGTGACTAAAAGTGACTAAAACACGTGGCTAAGAATGAACAAGTACTTACTAAGTAACAATACTAGACAGAGGTGAGTGGAAACTAACCTCAAGCTCCAAAAGTTTTCCAATAACAGTAAAACAGGCAAATAACCAATAGTAGTTTCAGTAAATATTTTATAAATTAGTATACGGGTCAGAATTGATTAGCTGTAGAAGAAGGGAACATAAAATGCTGCTGCGTTCATAAGGAGAGGGTGAGTTTAATCAAGATGGGTGGGCGAAAGCATTTTAGTTAGCAGGCTCAGCAGCAGCAGCAGAGGTCCCACAGCCACAGGAAGGTTTGTGGACTGTTGAGAGGACGCCAGGGCCATGCTGCAGGTAGAGCAGAGTGTGTGGGAGAGATGCTCTCAATGTTCCAAGAGCAGACTGGGCCTCTGCTTTAGTGCAGTAACCCCAAACTGCATCAACGTCCCAACCACTGGGGGCATCAGACCCGGTTTAAAATGTGATTTTCTTTGTAGCTGGTCATTTAGGACACAGTCTTCTGGCCATTTTTATAGCTCACGCTTCCTTCTTGCTCATACCGTTCTTTCTCCCGAGTCCCCTGTTCTTCTCCTCTTCCCTCCGAAGGAGCCTTTACCCACCGTCCACGGACAGCTGTCTGCTCAAAGGATATCTCCAGATTCCTTTCTGTATAAATAGGGTGACTCACCTTTCTCTAGCCCTTTTTCTGGGATCCAAAGCTTGGGGTTCCTGTGTGGCTCCTATCTGAGTACACTTAGGGAGTGTGTTCATAGCAGAGAACCTCGGGCTGATTTGTTAGGAGCCACGCTCCTTAGGAGGCTATCCTGGTGTTTCCCAGCACTTTCCCCTCTGCTTTGGTACCTTCTTACTCCAGTGACCTTGGTCACACAGTCACACATTTGCATATGCAGCCCTTTTTAGGAGTTAATAGTTGGTGTGTGCTATTTGGTTCCCTATACTTTGCTTTCCCCTGTGTAAATGTTTGTTTCACAGCTTAGGGCTTTCACCGACAACAGAGATGACATGGCGCTGGGGCATGTGATTGTGCTGCTTCAGCAGGAGTGGCCACGAGGAGAGAATCTGTTCTTGAAAGCTGTCAATAAGATTTGCCAACAAGGAAATTTCCAGTATGAGAATTTTTTCAATTATGTTACAAGTATCCTTTTTCTTGTATAAGCAAATTCTGACTTCCTAGAATTAATGAATCTATGATACAAAATTTTTTTTTGAACCATTCTAGATAGAAATACTGGTTTTTACCACTTCAGAAGGGAGGAAGAGGGATGGTGATTTAAAAACAATGCTGTGCCAGTTGATCTTAAAGTCCTAAGAAACTTCAAAGATATAATTCAGGAGCTCAAGAATATTAACAGGCCTTCCCTACTTTCACTTCTACCTAACCTTTCATAAAGTACCCAAGATGGCACGTGTAATAGCCCACGAGTTCCTGCCAGCAGAGTGGTTGGTTTAGCTGTAGACTAGAACAGTTCTGGGCGCTCATCTGTCGTAAGATGCCCTGAAGCCCATGCTGGGGCATTTCTGTCACCTGGATGAGTGATTAGCACACCAGGCCAGAGCTGTTCTAGTACCAGCAGTACTGGCGCTGCTGTCCCTGGCAGAGCTTGCTGTGCTGGGTCGTGTTTTGTCTAGTAGTTTACTTGGAAAGCCCTTGCTTATGGCATTATGTTTAGTCTTCAGTTGTGAGATACATGCTGTTTTTTTTCAAGTGCCCTATATCAGACACATAGCCTTAAGAGACTCTAATGAAAGTCATATAGTTTTTGTTTTAGCCAAAACCGTTTAATGAGAGTTTAAGTTAAATCTTTAATAAGATTTATGTTTAGTCGGAAATGGTAAGTTATGTAACTTTTTACAGGAACTCACTGCTTAACATTAGCAGGACTCACAGAAGCTTCCTCCTCTGGAGCTTTTGAAAAACTTGGCACAGTACCTGTGAAGAAACAGTCTCTCTGTTTTTATGATTCATATTCTGTAACCAAAAGCAGTCCTCATTCCCACCATCTTTTTTGATTTCTCATTAAGAAAAAAAAAATTGTGCTCTTAGGATCATATAGACTGTGCTAAACTAACTGCAGAGAGAAAACATACTGTCCTAACATGTTAAGCCAGGAGTTCTCTTTATAGTAGTTTGATTGGGCGAAGAATTAGATTTTGGAATCAGACAAGCACATGTTCAAATCCTCATCCTGCAGTCAGTAGAATGGTAATGGACAGGGTATGAGCCCCCAAGAGCCTGTTTCCTCACCTGAGTGCGCGGGGCACCCTGTTCTCCATGTGGTTAACCTGAATCTGGCTGTAGACATTGATATGCTGGAGGAATTTGCCTACTTGAGAACTCAGGAAGGTGGGAAGATCCATCTGGAATTGCTGCCCAATCAAGGAATGCTGATCAAGTAAGCAGATTCTTGCTCTTCCAAGTTCTCTTTTGTTGTTTTATGCACTATTTGTAAATTTCTGTGTCCTTCAAAAACTTAATAGACATGAATGCAAATGTGGTCTTTATTTTTGAGAGTCAATTTGACTGTGAGTACTTTTGGAAAGACTTGTTTCCTTAACTAATTTCAAAAAAAACCATACTGTTTAAATTGGAGTATTTCTGTTATTTTTGAAACTTTTTTAGTAGATAGAAATTTCTTTCCTGGTATTTTTTCCTTTCCAGAATTTACAGACTGATCTTATAAATATCTGATTAGCGTTAGAAAATGCTTACAGGTAAGAGCAGCCATGTTTAAAATTGCACTGGATTAGGAAAGTCCAGTAGGAAAAACTGCATTTATTTATCAATTATATTTGAAGCTGGGGTTATAGCTCAGTGGCACAGCACCTGCCTGGCATGCATGAGGTCATGAGTTTGATTTCTGGCACCTTTTTTTAAAAAAAAAATCATAATTTGAAACCTTTGTAAGCAGTTTTCATTGCTCATAGCACAGAGTGCAAGAACAGGGTCTCGTGCCTCTGAGAACATGCAGGAATGACAGTGGGCATGTATGGTCTCAAGCAGACCCCTGCCACCACAGAGTGCTGCTGAAATGGCAGGTGACCCAGAGGAAAATGTCACATCAGCAACCATTTATGATTTTTAAATAGCTCATGACTCTTGCTTCTCAATCCTCATTGTGGTTTGAGTAATATGCCCTCTGCTCTGAGTGCCACGTGTAGTTTTATTTCCACACTTCTGCCTTTGCTTCCTGCACATTTAATGTGTCTGTAAGTCACAGTGTTGGAGTTCCCACAAGAGACGGAACCCGAGTAGGGAGAAAGGATTGCTGAGACTAAAAACATTTTCTTTTTTCTCTTAATTGTGGAGTAAAGAAATGTCTAGTTGTTAAAAGCAAAAATTCATGTCTTTATAGAGTCTTAGAAATACTGAGGGAGAGAGATAATCATTCTGGATTTCTAAAACCTCAGTAACTTGGTGCATTTCTTTTTATATCCTACCAAGAATAGAGGAATCCATTCTAAAAAGTGCAAAGATCGTTTTTCCCCTTGATCTTATAAATGATATTAAATATTTAAAGTAAAGGGACAAATGATCCTGTTTGAAAATATGAGACCCTTATACATTAGGCTGCTTAAGCAGGATGGACTAGGCGGGCTCATCTTCCCTTCCCCATTTACTGTCCTGAGACAGGATCAAGGCTCTCAGGAGAACAACTGCATGGTTCCAAATATTCTTACTGCTGTATGAGAATAAAGATGAATGTTTTATATGGGAACCCAGGTAACCCCTTTTGTGTTACGATTTCTAGGTTTTGAAATGGAATGTGCAAGCATACCTTTTAGTTAATCAATAGTCACCAAACAAATTGTCATAATGTAAAGATGGCCCTAGTAGCACCAGCCTCCTCCCACGTGGGAATAAACCTGCAGAGGAGCGTTTTGTTATTTGGAGAGGCTTAACTCTGACCGTGTGAGAGGATAAGTTATCAGAAACTCCCCAGCTGCACCTCAGACTTCAGTATACTGAGCCTTTCTCCATGTCCCAGATTTTCTTGAACTGAACAGTGTCATGGGCACATGCAGGCAATCCCCGTGAGGTCCAGATAATGCCCCAGGAAAAGATTAATTGGGTTGTTTGTATAAGGAGTGCCCAATCTGCATTTTAAGACCTTTGAAGGATAATTCCAGGCTCTCCTACTTTGTTTAATTTGACCCTTAATTTCTTCAAATTGCTGAGGAGACAAGCATCTTAGGAAACCTATGTTTCATCAGTTTGGAAATGGGAATAGGGATTGTTACCTGCTAATCTCACCTTGTAGGAACTTGCTGGGTCTTCCCGGCCTGTGTGGGTCTCAAAGTGAATTGGAGCCTACATTTCAGCTAATGGATAGGAGAATGAAACTGCATCAAACAGAGAGCTTTTACTAACTGAGGTCTCATTAGACTCGTGAATAAAACTATCTATATTCCTTTTCCCTTCGGGTTCCAAACAAATTCTCTGAAGCCATTGCAGACCTTTTGGGTGGTCCCTCCAGCTGAGTGGCAGATGTTGTGAGCAGAGTTCAGCTCCTTCCCTGGGGTAAGGTTGTGAGTCTGTCCTAGTTGTGGCACCTTGGCTGCGAGCAGGTATGGTACCAGCGCAGGCACCCAGTGCCTGACCGAAAGGAGGTGTGACTTCTTCGTGTCACATACACATGTTGCTCTTGTTTTAAAATAGAGAAATGTTTCTATGCTGATATTCGCAGTATCTGAGTTGTGTTAGACTGGACTGAAATGGAAAACAGTAAATCCTATGAGGTGATCACAGCTAATATGCTAAATCTTTGTTGTTTCAGAATTCTGCAAAGCCATGGGTCCCAGACTCTTTCCCTCCCTATTTCCATCAGTGGTTTTTTTTTAAATACTTGTTTGAACTTCAAACTGACCCTTTCTTTATCAAAAACATTGCCAGCCCCTCTAGTCCTCTGGGAAGGGCTGCTCAGTTGGGGCTTCAGTCCTGTCAGAGATGTCCCACAGAGTCACCAGGTGTGTTTCTGAGACTGGCGTGGGCATGAGAAGAGCACAGTTGAGGAGGCTGGATTTAAAAATATGTCCTACCAAGTGATAACCCTGTTCCCCTGCCATCCAGGTGCATTTCACTGTCTTCTTCCTCACTGGTGGCTTTTAGTACCAAATCTCCAGTGGACTGAGTTCTGGGCCAGGAACCCAGAGGCATCTGGCCCCACTCCACAGCCAGCCGGTACAGTGAGGGCTCGCTGGCTTCTCCCCAGTCTCCCTGGAACTCACCGCAGCCAGGGGCTTGTCACAGTTAAAGTCTCTGTACAGTCCGCTTCAGTCTTGTGTATCTTCTCCGGAGTGTTGTTTTGCAGTGCAGGGTGAGCCGGTGTGGGTGTTTGAATGCTGCTGTTTGCTGTTTTTTAAAGGCCTTCTAGCCCTCCCCTGGGGTTACTGCAGCAGGAATTCTTACCTGTGCTTCAGCCCAGCATACAGACTGCTGACAGGTACCACGTGGAAACACCTGCTCATAGTGTGCTGTTCGTCCACATGTTTTCCAGCCCATGGTTTCAGCTCTTTGTTCCTCAGTGCTCTTTTTCATGCTTTATTTATTTTTTTAATTTGTTCTGCATTCCTTGGCAAACCATCTGGTTGTAATATTGTAACATTTCTTATTTTTTTTTCCATAAGTTGCCAGTGTGTTTGTGTTCAATTTAAAAATCATTATGGATCTGGAAAAAATATGGAAGTTTTATAAAATTGTATTAGATTGATTAAATGCACATTCAGTGAAGTGCTAAACCATGATTCTCTTTTGATAAAACATAAGGCTTTTGGTCATAAATACTTAAAGATGCTGAATTTTACTTGACATAAATTTTTATTGAAGGATTTTAATGTTAGGGATCAATATTGTGTTGGTTTAGGTGGACATCAGCAGTTTTCTGTAGCCAATAGTACTGTTCTCAGACCTTGCTTTTTGAATTGAAAATATTTGGTAAGCTAAAATAACATGCTGATTAGCTAATTTATCCTGTTCTTAAACTGAAATAGTTGACTAGAGTCATACATTCCTTACCTGTACGGGTATTTTCTGAAAACGCATCCTTAGGTGATTTCATTATTGTTTGCGTGAACATCATAGAGTGCACACACACAGACCTGCTGCACACCCAGCCTATATGGGGACAGCATGCTCCTTTGCTGAGCAGAGCCTGTTAGGTGGCGTGTGACTGTGATTCTTGTCTTTCCCCAAACTTGTTAGAGGGATAGAGGCTCTAAGGAAATAGAAATGAGCTGTGCTGCTCTTCATGTATGGAAAAATACCACCAGACCGTGATCAGCAGGGTGTGATAGTAATTGTGTTCAGTCACAGTAAGGGGACAGTTTGCCTGTTAGCTTGCTGCCTACAAATGCCAATGTCTTCCATTGGTCTGGGTTGGGATTGCAGCCCAGGACCTGTAAGAGCAGAATCTCATGGCAGCGCAGCGTGATTTATATCCACTCCCATGGGGCCTTCGCACTGTACCTCCCTGCCGCTGTATCACACCATGGCTTTGGGATGTCCACACAGAACTGTGCATTTTCTCCATGGCCCTGCTGTGTCACCACGTAGTTCTCGAAAATGTCCCTGGCCATCGTAGAGTGTTTTGTAACAGCTTCACCAGTGTAACTAAGCCTGATGTTTTTTCTTCTATTATATTTCAATCTTATGACTCCGGTTTACTTTTTATAGTCAGTGTTTTAAAAAAACAAACATTTAGAGTGATTTCAAGAGGTTATTTGGCCCAGCACAGAGCCAGTGTTGAAATGTGCCTTGGCTGAGGAAGTTAGGCAGCAGTAGGAGGCAGTGAATGGCTGTGCGTTTTGTTTGTCTAAATCCTCCATGTAATGGAACTGCCATAGTAGCTAAAACTCCTGTCCACCTAACTGAGCCCACTGATGTTCTGCTGGTTTTCCTTTCCTGTCTCATTTGGTTGTCTTCAGTTTTCTGAGAGTTTGTGTGTGATTTCCTTTTGTTACATAACAAGTTTTGGGGCACAGTGAGATACTGTGTTACTTGTGCTCCCCCCTGACAGATACATTCCCTCTGAGTGCCTGGACAGAGCTTGTCTTCCTGGGATTTTGCAGGCCACTGACTTTTTCAGGATCCTGCCCGTTCCCAACCTGTGTCACTTTCTTGCCTCAGGATGCCTGAACCCCCTGTGTTTTTTTTAAACAGATGAGAGTCTGGGTGGGCCCAACTCAGGTGCCACCCTGTTTTGGCACCACGGGGAAAGAGGTGCCTCAGGACCCGAGTGGCTGTGCAGAAGCCCTTCAGGGAGCCCCAGCTGGGGGAGCCTTGGCAGGAACTGGTGTTCTTTGATCTCTTTCTCCCTGCTGCTGCTTCTCCAGTGTGCTGGCCTGGCTGGACGCCAGTGCTCTGTGGCCAGTGAGGACAGCAACCTGCCCACACCACCTATCAGCACCGTGAGCAAGCCAGCAGTAGGGATACATGAGATCAGAGCTTCGGGAATTCAATAGCATTTCTCTGAACATAGATGTGTCAGATATATGGGTGGTAAAAATGCGTTTCTAGTGTTAAGTCTGGCTGAGCAGGAATGGGTAGGAGTGGTTGTTTGGTTGCAGCTTTTCTTTTTAAATTTGATTTGTAGTTTTTACTTATGTGTACTTAGATATGATGCAGGCTTTATTCCTACTTAAGTACTGCTCGTCAGTGATGTTGCTGTTAAAGCCTGGTCTCTGTCTGTTCCCCTGTCGCTGACCTCAGGCACCACACGGTCACCCGAGGCATCACTAAAGGTGTGAAAGAGGACTTCCGTCTGGCCATGGAGCGCCAAGTCTCCCGCTGTGGCGAGAATCTGATGGTGGTGCTGCACAGGTTCTGCATTAACGAGAAGATCCTGCTGCTTCAGACTCTGACCTGATGAGAGACCTTTGCGCCAGAGACAGCTGGTCACTGTGTGGCTGAGAGAGAAGACACACAGTAGTGACGTTACAGCTCTCAAAATGAAGAGAGCACCTGATTTCCAGCCCCTTGCTTGCTTAAAAGTAGTTCCCAAGAGCCTGAGAATTTATTTCTATTTTTAAGAGTTGTGTTTTGTAATTTTTGTAAAGCAAGAGAATCAAACTGTTTTGTAAATAAAATTCACTCTAAAATTTGAAGTTTTAAAAAATTTAATTCTTACAATTTTCTAACTAGGAGTTCCTTTTTCTTCTACTTTGACAAATGTATAGCAAAAGAGAAAGTCCAACATGGTTGACTATGGCTCCTTAAGATATGCATCCCAGGGCCTTGAGATTTAATTTCTGTAGTTAAGTAAATGTGAATCAGCGTAGTACTTGACCTTGTCATTCAGAGAGTTTTATATCAAGACCTTTATATGGAGTTGACCTTGAGCCTGTTCTGTACCCACTGACAGTCCTCGGAAGGAGCTGTGCTCGGGGGATCTGAAAGTCAAGGCAGGGAAGTGGAGGTAGAAACCACCTTGCTTGGGACTCAGGAAAGCCTGCTGCTGCTCCAGGGCAGGGCAGCCCAGCCAGGGGGCTCTGTGCAGGGTGCTGGTGTAAGACCAGCCCTGCCCTCTGCTCACTGTACAACCAAAGGCAGTTTAACTTCAGTGTGCCTCATTCTGCCTCAAAAAGGCACCGTCTGCATACGTATGCACACCTGCATACCCACACAGGAGGAATTCCAAGGCAGTTGTGTTGCCACAGACCCCAGAGTGTTTGTACTTTCTAATTCCAAAACATTTTCATTTCCTTTCCAGGCAGTGCATCCTTTGGGTCTTACAAGTCTATTTGGGCATCTACCACAAAGATAAAGGGTTCTTGCTAAACTGACTTCGCTGGTTTAGATGTGTATCCTGCAAAAGTTCTATGTACTATTTTAAAAGCTTGGTCTTAGGTGTTTCCTGTGATTAACTGTCAGTAGAAAGTTTTCCCCGCTCCTTGATAATGCTTTATAGGTCCTGCCAAGCACTTCTTTAAGAGATACGAATATTGTCCCTATTCCAGTAATTAAAAACAGAACATCTCTCCCATATTGCATAGTGCCACTCTTCCTGGACCATGAGTTATCTGACTTCACAGGGTGAAGTCAGTAGCCACACCTCGGGCACAGGACTGTGCTGCTGGCTTCTGCCCTCATGCTTACCAGCTAGACGTGAAAATAAACTGCACAGCAGCTTTGAAGCTCAGTTTGCGTTTCCCAAGCAGCTAAATTAGGGTTATCATTTCTGTTTCACTGAGATATTATAATATAAAAAGAAGTACCAAGCTAGTGTTGGGTGAAATCCAGAACAAATGCTAAGGGACATTTTCCCCTCTAAAAATAAGTCAGACTACAAAGAAAAGCAAAAGCCAAGCAGACATGATACTGACGTGTAGCCCGGATATCAGCTGCTGCAGCATCCTTGCTTATACATTGCTTTTTGCATTTTGGCCCTTTGGTGTCTACTGCAAAATTCTACACTTCAGGCTTTTTCAGAAAGGACAAACCAATAGCAGAAAGCTTTATTGAAGAGTTCAGTGTATATAAAAGGAGGAAGAATAAACGAAGTAAAAGACTCAGACATGCAGATGACCTTCCTGTTTTCTGGAGCTCTTCTTTGGCCCTGCTACCAGAAAGGAATTTTCTTCCCCACTGTTTTGTTTTGATTTGTTAAGGGGTAAGAACACAACATGAGCTCCAGCCTCTGCAAATTTTGAAGCGCACAGAGCAATATTAACTATGGGCGGGGCATTGTGCTGTGCTTCCTGGCAGTTCCTCTCCCAAACCTACACTTGTAGAACAGCAGCTTCCAGATTCCTTCTCCCCCGTCCCTGAAAACCACCTTTCTCTGCTTCTGTGAGTTGGGCTGAAGAAAGTGTGATCCTCACGGAGAGTTACTAGGCCTTTAACAGGAAGGAAATCCTGTCTTAGGCAACAACGGTGACCCACCTGGAAGACATTAGGGTAAATGAAATCAGCCAGAAACAGACGAACACTGATTCCACTGTGAAGCACCTCAATTTCTTGTGCAGCTTCTCTGGCTCTTGGTTTTTCCTAAATTTTTGTTTCTCTTGACTTTAATTCTTCACCCTTTTATTAAAGGAAATGCTTAATTAGGCTCTGGACTTTTCAGTTATATACTGACACCTCAGGCATCTGTGCAAGGGACATCTTATTAATAGGATCCAGTGGTTACAATTGCAAATAGGAAAAAGAATTGTTTTTAGAAGTTTAAGACAACTAACTGTGAGGGCAGGTTAAGGGTTTTCCTGCTAAACTTGGCACTCAATAAACAACACCTTAGCAGCTTTTAAACAAAAAATAAGAAAATAAGGTTTGTGGTGGAGGCATTTCCCATTGTCTACCGGGGCTGCCTTCTGAATTCACACCTTGAACGTACTTCATTTTCTCTGTGATAGGTTTTTGTGTCTCAGGACTCTGCCAGAGTGGCTGTTCTGTAAGAATTAGCAACTTTGCATCAGAGAGGAGAACATGAGCTGAGATCAGGTCTTAAAAGTTAGGTGATAGATTTAACTCTGATACACCAAGTTGTGTAGAAACGGTGGTTACTTTTTAACTCACTTGGATTGGAATAATATCTGACATTAACTGATCATTAACTATACCAGACACTGTGCAAAGCACTTCATATATATTTTCTCATACTCCTAACGATGCTGGGAGGCAAATAGGACTATGTATAGACAACAAAACAGGAAGTTTCAGTCTCTGGCATGAAGTCACATAACTAGTGACTGATAAGAGTTTGGTCTCTGCCTGAAGAATTGGATTCTGGCTCCAACCATTGTGTTAGACTCATTGAAAGCTTCTGTGTGCTTGCTGTGATGTTGGACTCTGGGGAATAAGTAACTAAACACAGAAATAACTCCAGGTGTGTTTTCTACCTAGAGGACATGATAATGGGAGCCTCACATAACTCCTGCAGACTTCATTGTGCCTGTGGTGGTTGTGTTTTAGAGATGAAGTCCTGAGGGAGAAAGGAAAGGTTTGAGAAGGCTTTGCCAAGATGGACTTTCTGAATTTTTAACTATGAAGTGGATCCTTATTAGGAGGATAAGCATGCTCCAAACGTGCTGACATTTAAAAACTCCTTTTTGGTAAGTAGCAGGCATTTGGCCAATGCTGGAGGCATTAGAATTAACAAGACTACTCAATTGCTACATTCACAGAATCAACAGCCTGGTGATCATCCCACCTCCGTGGGCTCTGAGTTCCCTTTTTGGAACTCCATCCCATCTTTCCCAGTCTCCTGGGTTTTTCCTATCATTTCAACTTCAGTATGAGCCTAGAGCTCAGCCTAGTTCTCCCTGTCAAAGGAAGTAAGAAGCTCAATCAGTCACACACATCTTCATGAAAATGGTTCTATTTTTGCCTCTCTCATCATAAAAATTACTTGGTCCCAATGGTACAATGTCAAACACTATGTCTTCCTAATGAAGAGTTTTCTAAATTCATTCACATGTCTACAAATGGCAATATAAAAACTGTAAGAAACCGCAAGATCTAGAGACCTGTTTCAAAGACTGGTTCAGGCTAAATATCCCTTCAATTTTAATCTCTCATAAAAAATCCTTATGAATTTTTTCATAATCTCTTCTTTTTACCACAAATGCAAGATTGTTTAGTCCCTAGGTATTGGTTTCCTAGGACTCTTGTGAAAAAAAAAAAGTGTAATGAACTGGGTGGCTTAAAAGAAGAGATATTTATTGTCTCAGTTCTGGGAGTTACAGATACAAAATCAAGGTGTCATCAGGGCCATGTTCACCCTGAAACCAGTGCAACCCTTTACCTGTTCTTAGATCTGGCAGCGGTTGCTGACATCCCTTGGCTTGTAGCTGCATCGCTCCAGCCTTACCCCTCCATCATCACTTCGTGACTCCATATCCTCTTCCTTCCCCTGTCTCTCTCCATGCCCTGTGTTCTCATGAGGACACCAGTCATGCTGGAGATCTGCCTCGCTCTTGAATGGCTTCATCTAAGCTAACTGCATCTGCAGTGATCCTATTTTCAAGTAAGGTCAGAGGCTGATGTTACTGAGGTTTAGGACTTCCACATATTTGAGGGGACACGATCAGTGATAGCCTCAGAACTTTATTTCCGTCTTTCATTATTTTTTGTTTGTTTGTATAGCATCACTCCCTCCATGCCTCAGAGTTAGTTGAAGTTTTTGGTACTCTTTGTATCCTTCAATTCCCCTCTTGCACATAAAACAGATTACACAAAGCAACGGCAAGTATTTATGCATTGAGAGAATTTATGCATTGAATGTTTTTTTCTTTTGAATGGCTGGCATTGGAATATATGACTCTCTCTGGACGCCCCTTCTTTCCATTCCAACATTCATAAACTTGCAGAAATGGGAGGATGTAACTATACAGTGACACATTAATCACTTTCCCTCAAGGACACCTGCTAGAGGTGAAGGCAAAGATACAAAGTATTTCTGGTTTGTAATAAAAGGTAGAACAATTATCTGTTCTATTATCTGTGTCTAGGGAGAGAAGCCTGCTTTTAAATTGACTGCCATTTTTTTTTCATAAGAAACTTGGAAACTAAAGAAACTGCAAGTGCATGAAAAAGGGAAAGAACATGATGTATTTAAGAGGATTTTCTCATGATTGGAGCTTACATTGAAATGCCATGATGCATCTTTGTTTATTTGGAAGGCAGTTGAGAAATCAAAGTTCTAATGGCCAAATTGATATGTTTCTAAAAAAAAATACCAGGAGGCACTTCATTGAGTACATACTGAACAGTGGAAGACATTGCCACTGAAGATTGTTAATGAAAGATCACCTGAAAATGTCTTTTCAAGTAGGCAGTCTGGGAAACTGGGTAACTTTGACTTGTAATGACTTGTGTTTTTATAATAGTTGAATAATTTTATTGTTTTATTTCCTTTGATATATACAAGCATATGTATATTTTTTGTTGTGAAGATTTACTTATATATACAGGGGGAAATTGAGGCCAGGAAGTTCAGCCTGGGATCATCCCACAAGCCCGTGGCAGAGCCGGAATAAGAAAGTAAACTTACTTCACGCTAGATTAGATTATCTCATAAACAGACACAGTGGATGCATATCTAGTAGCTTTATTTATCTAGTTTATTTTTAGCAGGGATAGCTAGATGGTCATTTCATAGCTACTA